TACTACATAATTTTAAACAACTGCATAGTTTTTCATCCATAAAAATATCGTCCTTTATTTAACTCATCCCCTGCTGTGACATGCTTAGGCTCTGTCTCCAGTTTTTCACCATGATAGTGTTTTCATAAGCAACCCTGACCTAATAGTTGGTCCCTATTCCGATGATTACTTTTTTTTTTTTTTTCTGGTACTGGGAATTGAACTCATGACCTTGTGCTTACCAGGCAGGTGCTGTGCTGCTGAGCTAAATCCCCAGCCCCCCTGATGATTACTTTGGGACAATTTCTGACAAGTAGAATTTCTAGGTTGAACAAAAGTTTGTAGGACTTTGATTTGTTGAGTCAAACTGCCTCTCAGAAAGCTCTGGTAAATTCATATTTCCACAGCAGTAAATACAGTGTTAGAGACAGTCTACCCCAGTCATATTCACAATGTCTTCATGTATTTATAGAAAGTACATATTATAACAGTTCTAAGTCTATTATTTTTATATCTTTACAATCAAGTCAGTAAGAGGGGAGATAGCAGGGTGCAAAAAAGGCTCAGTGTAGATCTGACTTATTCATAAATCACAGCAGGCATCACAAATGTGGCCACAATACTTTTAGGGGCATACAAAATGTTTTAATTTCTTTTAAAATTAGAAGGAAAACACCCAATGATGATGATGATGATAATGATGATGATAAAAATGGACCCGGGCTGAATTCTATTCATCTTTTTATCTAAAGCCTTTGCAAAATGTTGTGCTTTTTTTTTTTTGTGATAGTGGTGGTGCTGAGGAGTCAAACCAGAGCTTTCATACTGAGCAACATTCTCAGCCCTTTTTTTTGGGTCTGTTTTGAGACAGTCGCACTTTTTTTGTTGTTTTTTTTTCTGGTACCAGGAATCAAACTCACAACCTTGCGCTTGCCAGGCAGGCAGTATGCCGTTGAGCTAATCCCCAGCCCCAAGATAGTCTCACTTTTAGCCCAAACTGGTCTTGAACTTGAGGCTATCCACCTGGCCTCAACCTCCTAGGTGCTAGGATTATAGGCATATGCCACTGCATCAGGCTCATTCCCAGCCCTCTTTTAAATTTTGAGATAGTCTTGCTAAGTCACTAAATTGCCCAGGCTGGCCTTAAATTTTCACTGCTCCTGCCTTCCAGAGCGCTGTGATTACAGGTGTGCAGCATCATGCTGGCTTAATATATATATGTACATTTTTAAATGGAGGAAGAGGAATGCAAAAAATACTTGCCATCTGTGAATGTTATAATGTAGCCTGGGCGTAATGTTGAAAATGATTCTCTAGATTCAGTGGGAAAGAGCATAATGATCCTTCTGTATCTGTGGAGGACTGACTGGTGCCAGGACAGCCTCACCCCAAATCCTAAATCTAAGGGTACTCAAGTCCCTTACATAAAGTGGCATAGTAGTTGCATAGAATTCGCCTAACTCTTCCTGTGTACTTTATATCATCTCTAGATGACTTATAATACCTCATACTATGTAAATATTACAGGAATAGTTGTTATACCATCTTGTTGAGGGAATAGCAAGGAGAAAAGGCTGTATCTGTTCAGTGCAGATGCAATTTTTACTGCCAAATATTTTCAGCTGGAAGTTAGTTGAATCCGCATAAGTGACAAAAGGCCCCTGACTGTGCTTGCGTCTGCTCAAGGCATCAAGAGGGAAGCTGCACCCTCCCTGATCTAGTCATTTTTGATCTGCTGGGTTGAGATAGAGCTTTGAGTTCAAATCCCAGATCTACAGCGTCACCTATTTCACCTTCTAAGCGTGATTCCTAACCTGCAAAACGGAGTTCATGGGGACATTTATGAGGTTAAATAAAAATGAACCAATAACGAAAGCCAACACCAGAGACTATTTTTAATGGGCTTTCTGTGTGTTAACCCCTTTATTCTTTCAACCCCTTCGGCTTAAGCAATGTCCTATCACCACAGTGTGTGCTCTGGGAAATTGGAACCTTGGTTGGGATTTTGTCCAAAGACATAAAATGCTCAAAGAAGGATTTCCCAGGCTTCAGGGTCTGTTTTAAACTCGAGGGTGTGACCCAGAAACTCCCACGTCAGTCCGCGTTCTGCCTGCACCCTCTGCTGGCGGGAAGTGGCGTTGTGCGTTTGCATCCTGCGGGAGCGTCCACATTCAGCCCGCAGGAGGATGGTCATTCTCGGGTCTGGGAAAGAGAAGGACAGAGAGCAGCCGGGACAGTGAAGGGAGTGAAGGGAGTTAGCGCGAGGCAACCACTCCAGCCCGGGGGGCGTAGACCTAGCGCTGGGGCGTGGTTTCTGGCAGGGCGTGGCCTCTGGCGGGGGCGGGGCCAGTTTGCGGGCCCAGACGTGGCGCAGAGGCCCGGTGGTTCGCCTCCAGCCTGCGGATCATTTTCTGCCGGGTTCCAATGGGCCTCCTGCTGTCGCCGCCGCCGCCGCTGTTGCTGCTTCTCGTGGCGCTTGTGGTCCCAGCCACCGCCGTCACCAACTATCGGCCGAACTGGAACCGTCTGCGCGGCCTGGCCCGGGCCCGGGTAGAGGTGAGTGTGCCCACCCCCACCCCTGGTACTACAACCCTACAACCCTACAACGCCATAGCCTTACGACTATTGCCAGCTCTGGCCCTGGGAACACCCCAATCCAAAGTCCCTTTTTTTCCTTACCCCATGGCTCCGAGACCATCCCTTCTGGTCCTCAGCCCCAGGATGCCCCGCACCCACTGTGGAAGCCCAAGACACCGACCTTGCAGCCTGGCCCTGCTCTCTATTCGGATGGGAGGGGACTTCGGACATTGCTGTTCCAGTTCCCGAACTCTTCTACGATCTGTAGCTCTTAAATCCTCCTCGGAGCCCATCATCCCATCCCCCATCATTCCACTTTTTCTTGGAATTCCTCCTTCGCCCTAGTTCTGGGGCTTGGGGCTCCAGAGTGTGTCTGTTCTTTCTCCTGGGGCAGGGAACACTTTCTGAGAGCCTCCTCCCACTATGCTGAAGCCAGGGAAAGGGGCCGAGAGCTCCATTACTACCCTCCCCCCTTTCTCCACCAGAAAATTCTTCTGAGTCTATTTTGCTATGTGACCTGCACCCTCACAACCTTTCTCTAGGGCTTAGTTTCCTGGCTGGCAACAGGGAGGTAGGAATGAGGGAGGCCTTGATAAGGTGGTCCTGGATTCTGGACTCCTGTTGGGAGGAACGCAAGCTGGGGCCCTGCAACCTTTCCAGGTTACAGAAACAACCAGATGGCCTGTGGGGTTGGGCCACAGATGGCTGGCAGGGCTTGCTTTGTGTAGGGTGGGGTAGGGACCAGATGGCAGGTACTGCTAATGGGGGCCCCCCAGGGCAGTTCTGAGCTGTTTCCTTCTGGTCTACCTTCACCCGAAGGTTTCAGAGGTAGAAGGGCAGACCCAGGTCTCTCTTGCCTGAGAGTTACAGGGCTATCATTTCTGTCTCTTGGGCACTGGGAGTCAACAATCAACAGGGTTCAGGCACGAGCCTCAGGGCTCGTAAGCTCCCTGTGGGTCTCTAGCCTTGCTCCTCTTTTCCTGGTGTCTGTAGACCTGACTTTCTCCACCTGTACACAGTTCCCCCTTCTGCCCATAAGGGACCTCCATCTCTATCACACCCTGGAAACTGTTCTTCTGAAGATAATTCACAGCTTAACCTAAGTCAGAGATGAGACAGGGTCTTGGTGGGGTAAGATGGGAGGGGATCCTCACCTGTCCCATTTTGTTTCTCTCCAGACCTGTGGAGGATGACAGCTGAACCGCCTAAAGGAGGTGAGTTTGATGGAAGGGGTCCCTAGGTCTGACCCCTCTAGCTGCTTGGAGAATGGGCAACATGGTCTCAATGCTTAGCGGGAGGGGAAAAATCCCAGGGCTGGGAGTTAGCAGCCTGGGATGCATGACCTCACTGGGCTGCAGTCTCCTGTCTGTGGAAGGAGTCGGGGTTATGTTCTCTAATGCGCTGGTTCCTCCCCAGGTGAAGGCCTTCGTCACCGAGGACATTCCATTGTAGTATCCTTCTGCTCTGGGGAGTGGGAAATGGGGCAGGCGCTTAGAAGAATCTCCTTCTACTTAACCTCAGAGATAGAGGTGGCAAATGGTTTTCATCTGACAAGTAGAATAATTCCTATTGACTGGCAGAGGATTCTGAGATGGTCTCTCCTTTGGGTAGTAGGCAAGAGATTGATTATTGAAGAGAAGGGCCTTTTACTTCTTTGAACCCTAATTTCCTCACTTGTAAAGGGGATCCCTGCCGCATCTGGGTACAGAAGGCAGTGCTGTTCACATTAAGGCTCCAGGGGCCCCAAACTCCCTCTTCCCACTACTACCCCCCTTAATACCCTCTCCAGCCACAACCTGGTGATGAAACACCTCCCTGGGGCCGACCCCGAACTTGTACTGCTGGACCAACGCTACCAGGAACTAGAGGTGAGAGCTTGGGAGGCGGGCGGGGGAGGAGCGAGAGGTGGGGCTTGACATGCTGACCCCGCCCTTTCTCCGCCTCAGCGCGTCCCGCTGAGCCCAATGACCAGAGAAGAGATCAACGCGCTGATGCAGGAGCTCGGCTTCTACCGCAAGAAGTCGCGCGACGCGCAGGTGCCCCCCGAGTACCTGTGGGCACCCGCTAAGCCCCCGGACCACGCTGACCTGTAGGTCCGAGGGCACGGCGGAGCTGGAGCCACCCTGTCTGAGCCCTGAAGACCGAATGAAGTGCTCAGCATCCCGGGAGCACCTCCCTTGCTGAGGACCGATGCCCGTCTAGCCAGCAGGAGTAGGGTTGGGGAAGTCCCTTTCCCCCTTCTTCCTTCTCCAGCTCCACTAAATACCCTTACACCTTAACCGAGGCTCAGCTTCTTCCTTGCTGCTGCGGGCGGGTGGTGTAGGAGGTCAGACTAGGAGCTCCCGCATATATCCTCGGGAGGCCACGCATCTCCTAACTGCTTGGTTCCCGGAGTTGGGGACCTTCTCCCGGCCCAGCGCCCACCCACAAAAGAGGCAGAGAAGTTAGGATCGTTGAAAACCAATAATTTATCAAAAACGCTGCGAGTGTATGCGGGGGAGGGTGTCGCGACAGACAGGGCAGCCGTGGGCAGGCGCACAGGGAGGGGACTGTGCGGGGAGGTGGGGGTGGCACCCTGCTGCGGGCGATGTGTGGGGGAGGCTAGACATCCTTGCCGCGCAGGCGCAGCTCGTGCCGCCGCAGGTGGTTGTAGAGCGACTGCACATAGGTGAAGACGCACTTGGGGTCGGGCTTCTTGCCCATGATCATCATGTCCTCCACCTCCACCAGGGGCACGCAATCCACCAACATCCTGCGGGGGAGGGGGGACGAGGAGGATGGTTGTGAGCACCAGCCCTCCTCTTGTGGCGCCCCTTTACCCCGAGGCCTTTTCATTGGCGCAGCCTGCTCCAAACTGTTCATCGTATGGGAGGGAACAAAGCCTTCCAGGAAGGCAAGGAAGTCCTGGATCAGGCCCACCAGCTAAGCCTAGAGGCCACGCTGCCAGTAGCAGAGCTAGGCAGGTAGTAATGGAGACGGTGGGGAGAAGAGCAAGACCCTGTTCCATCAGGCAGGTTTGGGTCTGTTCCTACTCCTCCAGCCCAGGGGCGGTCCTGACTCCACATCCCACCCATACTCTCCCCGGAGGCCACCTTTTGCTTACCCTCACTGGCACACGCCAGTTGCTGGAGGGCTTTCAGTTGGGCCATTGTGCTAAAAGAGCTATACCATTGGCAAATCTTTCTCTGTGGCCAGGGCTCACCCCAGCGACACCCTGGGCCCTTGATAATTACCTATCAGCTACCTAATCTGGCACTTACTGCCAACAGGCCCGAGGACCCTTGTCCTTGCCCCAGGGAACAACCACATTGTAGAAATGGGAAATGGAGGCCATGGAGTGTGTGTGTGTGTGTGTGTGTGTGTGTGTGTGTATGTGTAAGAGAGTTGGGAGGCAGGCGTTAACTCATCACCTGCCTTGGGTACAGCAGAGGAGGACATTATCCCAACCAATACTGACTGGACCTTCTACACTATGCTCAGGTGGGTGGACCATCCCTCTGATCATCCCTGGGTGCAAGCTGCACTTTAAATATAGGGAAACCGAGTCACAGGGCAAAGGAGCTGTATGAACCTCACAGCTCAGTAGGTGCAGGGTTGAACCTGTTGGGACCCAGGCCCCCCAGCCCTGGGTTCTGGCACTGGCCTGGTGCCTACTCTTCCCTACTGCAGGACCCCTTTCCCCACTCTGGAGTAGTTGTGGCTGTGACCCAAGTGACAGCTGCAGAGCAGAAGCTGGAGTCTGCTCTCTGGCTTTGTTTTTCTTTCTCTCCCAAATCAAGACTCTTCTGCCTTCTTCTCTGTTTGCGCTGTCCCGCCTGCCATGCCAGGTGCATGGTAAGTGCTCAGGGAGTGTTGAATGGGTTTGCATCAGCAGAGACAAGGCCAGGGACTGTTCCTGTTTCCATGAGACAGGAGAGCCTGAGACCATCTTCTATCTTGCACCTTCAGAATTAAATCCAGGACTGTGGGTAGGGCTGGAGCTACTCCCAGCTCACCTGGATTCCTTCATGGAAGAAACCCGGGAGACAGAAAACCTTCAGTCCTTCAGGGTCTGCTCCAACCCTCTGCAGGTGCTAGGTGAGGCCCTGCCCTATTCTGTGACTCTGTCTCCTTCTCCTTGTAACAGCATAGTCTTTCTCTACCTCTCATTTGAGACTTTGGAAACACTTAGGATGAGTAAGGTATGCCTTTGGGGGTTGTCCCTGCCCCAAACTGGGCTTATTTCCCCAGCTGTACCATGGTGCGGAGGTAGCCTCTTTCTGAGGCTTCTTCCAGCTGTGGCTATCTTCCCAGGGATCCCGGCTTCCCTCCCCCAACCTGGAGCTCCCTCCCACCCTTGGTGCCTTCCCTAGAGACCTTATAAAGCCATTGTTTACACTGGGGCACACGGCTCAGGGCTCAGGCAGCCTCAGTGTCAGGCCAAACACCAAGCAACTGGAGCAACAGTACAGCTGAGTCACACTTTCCAGCTGGATCAGGGTTGCACTAGGCTCCTCTCCTTCCAGGCCAGCTCACTGGGCAGAAGCTCCCAAGTCCATATATGACCTGGAGATAGCACCAAAGCCATCTTTCCCTCACCTGCACCCCTGAGTAGATGCATGTGGGATGACCCCAGGTCCTCAAGGGCATCTGAGTGCACCCTAGTTGAGTCTGTCCCTGACTTCCATTACTTGGAGCAAGCCCCTTGTCCCTTCTGAACCTCTATTTTCACTCCTCTATATAAAACAGAGGGAAAATAGTAATAGAGCTAGGAAGAACGCTGCTAAATGGGAAATCTGGAGAGCCAGTCTTTGGCCCTAGGTCTGACCTACCTCCCCACCCTGGGAACACTTTGAGGTCACCTCTCCTCTTCTCTGAGGAAACTGTCTTTGATGGGGCAGTTAGTTCAGGATCTAAATTCTCTCCTATAGCCCTAAAGTAAGATGACCAGAGAGGAAACGCCATAGCTAGCTTGGGCAGATCCAGCCAAGAACATCCTTCTGTTAAACTGGCCCTGTTTCTAAACTTCCCAGTTTGGTATCTGACACCACCAATTCCCCAGAACCCACACTGAAAGCTTGGGAGTAGTTTTGTTTGTTTTTTCCCCAGTGGTTGTCCAACCTAGGGTTTCTCAAATGCTAGGCAGGCGCTCTACCACTGAGCTATACCCTCTGCCTAAGAGACTTTCCTGTTCCAGTCATCTAGCTCATCCCAGGCCTCATCCAAGGCTTGTTCTAGAATGCTAACCTGACCACATCCACCCTCCTGGTTGAAAACCTTGAGGATTCTTATCCACGGTAGGAAGTTCAGACTCCTGACTGTGGCCCCTTCCTTCATCCTCACACCCAAGGCTCAAGTTCCTTCCCTTCTCATTCTCCATCTCTGAGCACTGGCTGACCCTCTGTCTGGAAGTCTTCCCTCCCTTAGCCTGAGTTTGTTGCTCAGATCCCAGTTTAGTTTGCACTTCTGTCGGAGAGCCATCCCGGGGCCAACAGCCAGAGTCAGGTGCCTCCCCTGGGAGCCCATGGTCTCCTGGGTTTTCCCCATCATAGTCCTTCTCACCTGGGTCGACACTGCTCATTAGTAATGGCTTCACCTGGTAGGCCCTGCGCTACCGGAAGTCAGGGTTCTGTCTGACTGCTTTTATAAGGCTCCCCCTGCACCCGCCACCCACCTCCCATTCACTTCGCTGAGCCCCGATGAGTAGATTCCGGTGAAACAGGGCAGGTGGCAGAGGCAGTGTTTCTCACCGTGGGGCCCCGAGCAGGGGTTAGGACTTTTTGGTTTTTACCAGCCCCTTCTGGACCAGACAGCGGTAGAACTCCTGGATGTACGTGTACACGCACTTCCAGTCAGGCTCTCGAAGCCGCACCATGTCCTCTGTATCCAGGAGTTGCGGGCAGTCCGCATGGGTCCTGGGGAGGGTAGGGGGCCAGGAAGGGGCAGGTAGGCAGGGCCCAGCCAGGGAGAAGAGGGTAGAGGTTGAGAAGAGAAAAGAGAGAACAGAGACACACGCACATACAGACACACAGAGACATGAGTTCAGTTACGTTCTCAGTGCTGCAGTCTGCCAGCCCCCCGCATGCCCCCTCCCCATTGTGGACGTGCCGCTCACTACCCATCGCTAATGGTGTGCAATGCAGACAGGGGTGGGGGGGTCAAACCAGTCACAGGTGCAGAGAACTCTTGGGGCAAGCGGGAACGCGGGGTGGGGGCAACGGCGTTGGCGCCGAGATTGGAGAGGAGGGCTGTGCCCCAGGGAGGGGGGGTGAGGGAGGCGTGAGAGGAGGTGGGGGAGGAGGGGAAGAAATCCGGAGGGAACCAGAAAGAGTAGGGGAGAGAACGAAAGACAGACGGAGGAGGGTGCTGAGGGTGAGGTGAGCGGAAGGGGCAATGATTCCAAAGTGGAGGGCTTGCTGATGTCCTATATAAGCCTCTGGCAGCACCTATATAGGCTGCACGGGCACGGTGCCCGGGCCAGGAGCCTCCTTTTGGAATCTCCAGCCGGGACCCCGTGGGAGCAGGAAGCTCTGGTGATAGTGGGAGGAGAGCAGGACAGAGAAAGGGAGAAAGGAGGGAGAAGGGGCAGAGGGAGGAGGGAAGGGATATGGACAGGGCCACCTGGTGGGCTTTGGCCTGGGCTGGTAGGCGGGCCTGCCGCTCCTTCCTTCCGGCGGGCACCTGGCACACTCAGCAGCAGGTGGGCAGGGGGCGGAGGAGGACAGGGACTCTGGGTAAGGGTCTCAGCTGGAGACGGACAGTGTGGCTGGCCAGTTCCAGGGGGTCTCAGGGCCGCTGAGCCCAGCCGACACCTGGGGCCCACACTTACTCAGCAGATGAGAAGGCCACTTCGAAGTTCTGGCGCCGGTTCTGTGGGCTAAGCTGCCCATAGTCAAAGGCCTCGGGGAAGAAGTTGTGTACCAGGGCACAGAAAGCCATCCCATCACTCCAGCTGGAGGAGAAGTTCTGGATGTCCACATGCTATGGGTAGGAGGACCGGTCAGGATCCTGGCGGGTAACTCTTCTGGACCTAGCGTGTTCCCCCGCCCCAGGTTTTGGCATTCTAGACCAGGGCAACTGGGCTCAGAGAGGCCCTGCGGCCTCGGAGTATGAACCTTCTGCAACTCCACTTGTCAACTTACTTGTCTGCGATTTAGCAGGATGGAGCTATGGCGAGGTCAGTGCCGCTGAGCTAAGGCCATGGTCATTCCTCCATCATGCCTTTCCTCACAGAAAGTAACTCACCCCCCACCCTGCCCCGGTGCAACAAGGAGGTGACTCTGAGGGTGGGATCTGGTCTTGAATCAAGCCCATCACCGAAGGGGCCCTCAGGAGGCCCAGGGTCTGGGCCCTAGGGTCATGTAGGCTCTTTGAGCCTCAGTTTCCTCATCCCAGAAGCCTTTCCGTGTGCCCTGCCAGGGCATGTGGCCCCTGTGAAGCCTACAGGGGAGTAAGAAGTTCTCCCAAGAGGGAGGTGCTAACCCGGGGCCTGGGAGGGCACTGGGCCACCTGGCCTCCTAGGGCTCACCTCGTAGCCGCGTGTCTTGGCTCGGCACCAGTCCAGCAACATCTGCTTGATGCTGTTGGCATTGGGAACCCCGAAGCTGGTGGAGCGCTGCACAGCTGTGCGAGGTCCACCAGGGCTGCTGTGGGGGGGGGTGTGTTAGAGCAAGGTCACCACCTCGGAAGAACCATCCTGTGGACCCCAAGGCCTTGCCTTCCGCGACCTTCAGCTCCTTCCCACCACAGTTCAAGCCCTGTTGCTCCCATCTCCGGCTTTGCCCATCATCCCTCAGGCCCCGGCCTCTTTGGTCATCAGGCCCCACGTCTGCCCTCTGCTCCTCACCCCGAGGCGCCCTCTTTCTCCAGCTTCTCAATCATGGCCTTGCGTGCTTGGGATGCTGAGGTCTTGGGCAGACTCTGCGCCTTCATCAGTTCTTTCTTTTTCTCTGCCTGGCGTTTTTCAAGTGCTGCCAGGCTCCCAGGCCGCGGGCTGGCCTGGTCCTCTCGGTCAAAGATGCTGTGGGTGAGGAGGTGACCATTAGGCTGGAGGAGTGCTGCTCTGGAGCCACAAGCCTGGGCCATCACTTGCTGAGAGAGGGATCCTGTAGTCTCTCCCACACCATGTTATGTCCACTACCTACACTTCTGAGCAGCAAAGAGGGCATTATCTCATCATACTCATCTTACAAGGGAGTACACTTTGGTCAGACAATGGAAAGTTGGGAGTCAAGCTTTCTTGATCAGAAAAAGATCAACTTTTGGCTCCCAAAAGTTCTCTGAGAAGTTTTAGTGTATTGTTAAGTTCCGATTCTGGGCTTTATCAAGTAATAAAAAAGGACCAACATAATAATAGCGATGGTAATAATAATAATAGCTCATGTCTGTTCAGCTTTTTATTTTTTATAGTGCTGAATAAGGATCCCAGGGTCAGGGGCTGGGGATTTAGTGCAGCAGCGCAGCGCCTGCCTGGCAAGCGCAAGGTTGTGAGTTCGATCCCTGGTACTGGAAAAAAAAAACAAAAAAAAAGGACCCCAGGGTCTCCTGCATGGGAAGCAAAGTATTTTACCACTGGGGTACACACTTAGCCTTCCTGTGAGTCATTTCAAACTTTGCAAGGGGTAGGTGGGAGGCTGACACTATTTCCACTAACGACAAGGAAACTGAGGCCTCAGGTAATAACTTGCCTAGGATTTCAGAGGACATAGGGCGCACGGCTGGAAATTGAATGCAGGTCCCTGATTCAGAGTTTCTGGAACCTTTGGTCTCTAGCCTGGATTCTGATCCAATCCCTGCTTTCTGCCAGCACTCCCATCCTCTGTAGCATGGAGGTATACACCTCTCTCAAGGGCTAAGCCGCTCTGTAACTTGGGAGGCGGTCTGTGGACACTGCAATGTGGCCGTTCCAGCAGACAGTGCCAGAAGGCCTTTCTAGGGTTTGATGTTCTTGCTGCTTCTCAGAGCTGTGAGCCCCGAAGCAAGTCTCTGGCTTCCCTGAGCATCTCCTTCTTCCAGGTTATGGCTGAGAATTGAGACCACAAAACAAGCAGGAATGATCTGATTCCCACTTTGTCCCTCCCACCATCTCAGTCTATCCCTCTGCAGAATGGGTATGCCATGAGGTCCCCCCCTATGTATGTGAGTAGGTGCCCATGCCCACCTGCCCATTTTCTTAGATGAGGAAGAGGAAGAGGAGAAGGTCTTGGTTTGCACTGTAGTGCTGCCACTGCCATCTGCAAGAAAGGGGAGAGGGAGTGAGGGGAGGCCTGGGCCTGGACATCAGGAGACAGGAGGAGGAGAGGCTGTACAGAGGGATGGTGATAACCACAGGCAAAGAAGAGAAAATGATGGCGCAGTTGAAGACAGAGAGAGTGGTTGAGGAAGAGCCCGAGGAGGTGAGGAGGCAGGCAGGCACAGGGTGAAGTCAGGCAGCCTTACTCTCCGAGCGCCTCACAAAACTTGACTCCACTGTGGTGGTGCGGGCTGTCCGTGTACCATCATCTAGAGGCATGGGAGATGACAGGGAGGGTCACTGGGGCTCACTGGGGAGCACGTGCTCCCACCCTGAGCCCTGGTTGGCCCCTTACTGGACTGGACGAGCCGCTCGGTCTTGGTCACAGTGCTGACGGCGGAGCCATCAGCCGCCCTCTGGCTGTGCCTTGTGGTGGTCTCGGTGGACGTGTTGCTTCGCCTCTCCCCTGGCCGGGCTCGTGCCTCCTGCAGTCGCCGTTCCCGTTCCTTGTCCCGCTGGTCTGGGCAGGGGATGCCCCATGCACGCCCAGAAGGGTCACCCAGTGCCCACACGGCACATATGCATAGGCACACAGGGCACAAAAGATGGGATGGAGGGCAGCTTGTTAGAAATACTAAGGACACAGGTGACAAGGGCTTCTCTAGAAGCATCTAGGGGTGAAGGGACAGCCATAACTTGTCAGAGAGGGGTATGGGGGAAAAGGACTCGGGTAAAAACTAGGGAATACGGAATCGCTGACCTCAAAGGGGTATTTGGATCCAAATAGGATGTTTCTATAGGAATGAGTAGCTGAGTGGAGGGAGTATCTAGATCTAGGGAGGAAGGAGCTGAGATCGAGGAAGGAGAGGCTGGGTAAACGTAGTAGCTCAGTGGTTCATAAAATGGGTGTTAGGAAGGAGAACAGCAGCTGGAGGAAGGACTATCTAGGTCCAGGGAGGGAATGACTGGAGGTATCTGAGAAGTAATCTGATCCAGAGAAAGGGTAGTTGGGAGGGAAGCCGGTGAAGGGGGTTGACAGGGCCTAAAGAATGTAGGCAGAGAGGCTGGGATCCCCATCAGTGGGCCTGGGGAAAGCAGCTAGATTTAGAAAGGGAGTACTTGAGAGGATCTGGAGGAAGAAGTGAATCTAAAATTAGGGAAAGAATAGCTGTGTCGGGAGAGGAAGTTATCAGGTGGAAGACGTAGCTGTGTCCAGGAAAGGGGAAGCGGGGTAGAGGCAGAGGCTAACATGGCCATCAATGGATCTTGGAGAGAGAGAAGCACCCGAGAGAAGTATCTCAATTCAAGGAAGGGGAGTTGATAGCACTTACAGAAGCCACTGTGTCCAAGGAGAGAGTGGGTAAGAGAGGGAGTGATTGGGTCTAGGACAGAGAAGGGAACCTGCTCAGGGACAGTAAGCTGGGGTGGCCAGGGGAAGAGAAGCAGCTAGGGAAGGGAGCAGCTGGGTCCAGCCGGAAGGAGGAAAGGGAGTAGCTGGGCTAGGGAAAGCAAAGCTGGACAGGGCAGTTACTGAGCTGCAGCATCCATGAATGGACCTCAGAATGAAGCCAGCAGTTGAGGGATCGAGCACCTGCATCTAGAACAGGGTTCTCTACCTCTCTTCCTTTGTCTGAGCTCACGGAGTGCAGCCCGGATTCGCTTCCGCTCCTCAAAGTCTGTGCTCTGATCCAGCTGCAGACAGAATTGTCACTGAGCACTTGGGGCCTGCCAATCCCCACTTCCCTGCCAACCCCTAACCCAGCAGAACCACTATACCATCTTGTCCAAGACCCCTTCATCCTCTATGGCCATCAGCTCCTCAGTGCTCAGCGGGCTCTGCCCCTGTGGTGCTTTGTCCGCCTGGGTCTGCTCTGCACCATTAGCGGCTTCCACTGCTGTAGAGGGAGGCTCCGCTGGCTCTGGCTCCATCTATGGGGTAGGGAGAGGGCAAAGGGGATGTGTGAAACCCATCATGTCCCCAGTGGGCAGAAGACCAGATCCTGGGGCTGTTGGCACAGCTTTGGAATTGACCAGCAGCCTACCAGTCTTCCTGTCCCATGCTGGTATGCTGGTGTCAGGCTCAGGGAAGCGTCCATGACAGCCGTGCTGTAGGTTTTCCCACATATTCACAATTATATTAATACAATTGGTAGTTAGCAGTATAATGATTTCCATTCCATAGCATTTGTATAAACACGAGGGCTATTACTGTCCTTAGTCAACAGGAGGGAAAACTAAGGCTTAGGGGAACTCCCCACAGTCCCTCTGTAAATACAATGCAGCTGGCAGCCTGGGGTTTGAGCTGAACGGAATCTAACTCTGGAGCCTGAGTTCTCTCTGCCGCTTCATTCCCAGTCCCCTCCCCGCAGGCTCTGCTGTGTCCTGCCAAGTCCTGAGGCCTGGGTCCTCCTGGGTCAGTGCCCAGGTGGCACATATCCCAGCCTCCCTTGCCAAGGGGGCTGGACCACAGCCTGAGGGTTCCTAACCAGGTGTCTGACTAGGGCTTCCCTGAGCCAAGACCTCTCTGAAGACCTGTCCTATCTATCACCCTCCCTGCCCTGCCCCAGCCTGTTGGGAATCATCCTCCAAGGAACCTCAAGACCTAACCTAGTGCCCTATCCCTCCCAGGGCACCTCCCAGCCCCCAGACCAACTACTATATCCCCTCCCCTCCTGACAGGGCCTCTCTGCTATGAGAGTAAGGAGAGCCAAGGGGGCAGCTGTTTCAGGGAGGCTTGGCCTGGCTGGGAGGGGGCATGGGGGTGGAGTTGGGGGCTGGGCCATGCCAGAGGCTGCTAGAGCAGCTGCCATGCAGTACTCGGGCTATTACTAGGGCTATTACTGTCTCAGTCTTGGAGCTCTCATGTCCTAGTCCTCTGTATAGACAGACAAACTGAAGCTCAGAGAAGGTGGTAGCACACCTAAGGTCACTCAGCCTGACTCAAAGTCACCCCCTCCCTCTGACCAAGAGGGACTTACGAGACTGCTGCTGTGGGTGGGGCCGGTGGAGGAGCGGCGGCGGGTGCTAAAGGCAGGTGGGTGGGCTACAGGGGTTCCAGCATCCTCAGCCGCCTGGAAGAGCGCCTCAGGGTCGGCGGCAGCCAGGAACAGCTCACTAGGCTCCAGCTCAGGCTCAAGGTCCAGCACAAGTGGGACCCCCAACCGTAGGCTCAGCATCTCCACCTGCCTGCTCAGCGCGTCCAGCCTCCGGCTCATTGTGGCTGTCTCCACCCGCAGCTCTTCGGCTGCTCGAGCTACTGGCTCCATGGCGGCTGCAGCTGCCTCAGCTGCCTGGGTCACTGCTGCCCGGCCTGCCTCAGCCACTGCCCGCAGCTCCTCCAATACCTGGCCCAACTGCTCCTCCAGGGCTGCAGCCATCTCAGGCCCAGGCCCAGGTACCCCTGGCATAGTGCTGGTGAGGACTCTATGGGGTGTAATGTTGGGACAGTGGCAGGGACTGCTGACTACGGCTGGCAGTGTCAGAGTCTTTGCAGCTGGTCCGAGGGCGAAGGCAAGGGCAGCGGGCCTGCCCCGCCCCTGCCGGCCTCCCAGCCCTCCACCAGCCAGCTGGAGCTGGGGCCCAAATAGAAACCTATTCTGGGCTCCTCTGTGGAGGGGACAGAGTGGGGGAGGGGTGGCTTGCCCAAGCAGGCTACTGCTAGGCCTGGCCCTGGCCCTGCAGAGATTACAGATCTATAGCACAGCAAAGCTGCACACATTTTGAGGGATTACTGAGACTAGGGCTCCATGCTTCCCTGGCGGGGAAACTGAGGCAGGGAGCAGGGAATAGGTCTGTCTGAGCCAGCACATCTATTAGATACGAGGATTGAATCTGCCAGACTCCAGAGCCTACCCAGCTTTCCTCTTATGCAATACTGTTTTATTAAGCCTTAAATAGGTGGGGACATGGAGGCATGGGGAGGTGGGACTTTATCTACTATAAACAAGGGTCTTGACCTTGAGATGAATGTCCTTCCTGGGTGCTCAGATCCCACACAGACTGAACAAGTGATTATAGGCACACCGTCTGTTCTCCCTTGGTGAGGAAACTGAGGCAAATTGGCAGTACTAGACCCAGGTTTCACTCTGGCCTCTTCCATTCATCCCTCACCCCTTCATGACACTCTACCTTAACCCCTCGGTAGAGGGCATCTGGGTCCTGCTTTGATGGAGGAAGGGTGTTTCCTTGCCCCTACTTCCTCCCTCCCGTCCCTGAGAAGGCCCAAACCTGGCTTTAACCATCTCACCTCAGCCAAAGTCCTGTTTAGTCCCTGGATCAGCACAGAGGGCGTTAGTTACCTGGGCAGCTGGGTAGCTTGCTAGGGATCCCTTCCCCAGCTGAGTTCCCAGCCAGTCGATCCCAGGCTTGGGAATGAATAATGGAAGGGTGCAGCGTATTCGGTTCCCGTGGCACCTGCTAGGCTGCTGCCTCACCTGACTGGTACCCCCTGCCTGTCTGTCTCCCATCAGTGCTTCTGCCCAACCCCCACTGGGAGATTGATGCAGATGCTAATCACTAATCTCCAATCCCCCTAATGGCTCAGGCTGATCTTGGATGAGCTGATGAGCTGCTCTGCACCTTGCCGCTGATGTCCAGTGTGGAGTGGGAGCAGGGTCACTGGGGCTGCCACACGAAGAGAGAGGCAAGCCCCTAACACCCTCTATGAGCCTCAGTTTTTCCATCTGCTCATTAGAAATGAACCAAATTACGAAGTAAGGATCAAAGATCAGAAAACAGGAAAGCCGGTGTCAAGTGAGTTTTGGACATGCTTGGTGGGTGATACACTGCAGTTTGGTCTTAGTTCTGCCACCGACTGGCTGTGGACTGTGGATGGCCACCTTCCCTCTCTGGGCCTCAGTTTTTCTGTACAAACAGTGGTGGGGAAGCAGAGCAGAGAAACTCTGCCAGCCCTGTGCCCTTACGCAGTTTGTGTGACATTGGTGGATGATGAGGTGGTGGGGTGAGAAGGGGCTCACCTTAACGCTGCAGCCTCCTCGGCTACCAGGGGAGGCATGGCTGAAGGTGGTGACGTGAGTGACACTGCCCATCCGGGTGAGGGTCCCAGGGTTGTTGACATGGGTGATGGTGCTCTTGTTCCCACTGCTGGTGCTGAGGAGGGTGGGGGGTGTCCGCAGCCCCAGTGTCAGTTCTGAGCAGGGAGAAGGATGGCTGTCAGAATCAAGTGCAGCGAGGGCAGTGCCAGCTAAGGTTGATGGCACCCTTGTTCCCACAACATCTTTTGGAGAGAGCCTGAGCCCTGGCCGCAGCCTGTGTCCTACGACGCGCAGATGGGTGGCTACAGGTGCTCATCCCCAGTAGTGGGGAATCAGTAGGGAGGCCTACCTGCCCTCTGGTTGCTTGTGGGTAGTAGCACTCGGCCCGTGGAAGCCTGGCCACGGCCATCCTTGATCTCGATGGTGAACGTGGTCTTCATACTGCCCCCTGGCTCAGCAGTGCCCACAGCCACAGGCAGCGGGGCACTGGGATCCTCTGAGCAGGCCACGGGCTCCCCCGCTCTGTTTTCAAGGGACCTGGCAGCCAAGCCCCGCCCTCTGGGGCCCTCCTCTTGGGGGCAGCTCTGAAGCTGGGCCAGGGGCCGAGCTGTTCCTCTTTGCTCCTTGTTGAACTCGGAGGAGGTGTCACTGGGCCCCCGAGAGGAGGAGCTCCTGGAGGAGGAGGCAGAGGTGGTGCTGATGAGGGAGGGGCCCAGAAGTCTTGTGGGGGTCAGGGAACCAAGGGCTGCTCGGGTTGGCCCATCCTGAAGCCTGGCAGCCGTAGGAGAATCGGATGCGAACTTGCGGACACGGTCCCGCACAGAGCCAGCCCGATGGAACGGGGAAGGTCCACTGCCAAGTGGGGTGGACTCTAGAAGGGATGAGAGGGCTGTCAGTGGCTGGGTGGGACAGGACACGGCTGGAGCCGGGGGCCGTTGAGAATAGGCAGTACCTTGACTCTGGGCGGGCCGTTGGGGGCTGAGCACAGACAGAGAACGCTGACAGGGTTGGGGTCCAGCCAGGTCTGGCAGATTGAGAGGGGAGGGAGTGACGACCATGTGAGAGAAGAAAGAGTGGATAGTGGGGAGCCCACTGATATCCCTGTCCTCCACACATGCCTATCCTCCCAAACCCTCCACAGACTCCAGCCTCCCCACCCTTCCCGCTGTTTGGGCCTGCCCACTCTGTGGCGTTTCCTGCAGGCACTTCCTTCTTACCTTCCCCCACTGACCCTAGGGTGACTTGGATACTCCTGGGGGCCAGGGCTAGGGTTAGTTTAGGTTCGGGGAAGTGTCCAGATCCTCCCTGCCCATGGGGATGGAGGACACCCCCGGCCAGCATTGCCCATGGCTCTGTCTGCGAGATGGGTGCACTCCCTTATTGGGGAGAAGAATGTGCCTGAGGCCCGTTGCCTTTCAAGGCTACAGGGAGGCCTCTGGCCATGGGTGGCAGGGGTGGGCCTGTCTAGGGGCGGGGACACCTCAGGGGCAGTAGAGGGGGAGTGTCAGGGACTGCCTGGACCCAAGGAGGCTGGAGCTGTCCAGGCACCAGAGCTCATTCCGCAGGCAGGGAAAAGGAGGGTGGGGCAGAGAAGGCAGATGCCTGTAGCTACCCCTTCTATGACCCTCACCTGCTCTATTTTTGTTGGAGGGGCCTTTGGTGGGGGAATGGGCAGCAGGAGGCTCTGTGGAGCCCGGCAGGAGCTGCAAGGCAAACATGGTATAGGCAGGACTGACTCCTACAGCAAGGAGCTCACCCGCCTGGCATCCCTGCTCCTGGTCCAGACTCACCTTGTTGGCCACCTGGCCTTCCATGCTAGGTTGGGCCAGCGACTCTGGGAGATCAGGGGTGGGAGTCCTGGGGGTGCTGGGAGGTGGCTCAGGGTCCCCTGGAGCCTCAGCAGCAGCACATGGGGCTCCAGCTGGTTCCAGTGGAGGCTCAGGAGAAGCAGTGCTGGGTGAATTGTCAGGTGAGGCAGTTGAGCTAGGTGTGTCCCCAGGTGGGGCCCTCAGCAAGAGCGTCACTCTGGTCACATCCTGGCTGGTATCCTCAGGAGCTGGGGTTGGCTCTGGAACTCCTGCCTGCTGTTCTTGTTCCTTATGCTCCGGCACCTGTGGGGGACCCACAGGATGCAACCAAGGCTCCCCTGCCTTGAGTACCACCCCCACCCTTGGAAGACCAGGCTGGCAGGTGCCCAGGGTATGCAAACTAGAAGGGCTGGGCATGGCTTCCTGTGGGCACACCTGCACAAGCCTTTGATCTCTACTTCCCAGTCATCTGGCTCTGCCCCAGCCAAAGGTGGTTCAGAGAGGACCAGTGCCTAATGTCAGTGTTTGGGGATAGCAGGATGCTGGCCAGGAGCTCCCGGCCAGCCGTAATAGACTCTGGGAGCACAGGAACCTGGCCCTGGCCTCAAGGAGTAGGCATGGAGTCCTGCCATGACCAAGGACTCAGCGGCCTCTGCTGGCCATTTAGAGAATCTGCATGGCCTGACTTCTCTCTCACACTCCGTGGGGAATGCAGAGGCCAGTCTGCCAGTGCTCTGATGACCCAAGGTAAAGATGCAGGCTGTGTGGAAGGCGAGGGCCAGCCTGGGGATGGGTTTATGCAGGGAGGTACCAGGGTCAGATTTGCATTTGTAAGAGATCTCTCTGCTGCTGAGTGCAGCTTGGATGGCAGAGATGGGGGTGGAAAGTAGGAATGGAGGTGGGGAAATGCCTGTGTATCAACAAGGGCGGCAGTGGGGAAGGGGCAGAGACCTGGAGCAGTGCAGACAGGCTAGGTTTGAGGAGAAGCCTAGGCAGAGATGAAGTCTGGAGGTGAGGCATGTGCCCAGAGGTTGCCTGGGAGATAGGAAGAGACCTGAGATAGAGCCCTAGTGTCCCTTAGGGCTGGAGGTTGCCACTTACAGTCAAATACCAGTGTAGCAAAGACAGACAGGCACCGTGCGCCACGGGCATCTGTGGGCATTCCCAGGCCACCCTCCCACCATGCGTCCACTCCTTACCTCACATTGTTCCAACCTGTGTGCGGCCAGCCCCTTGCTGTCCTCTCTGGAGCTGTTGTTGGGACGACCACTGCACAACCTCCCAGCTACAGTGGCAGCTAGAAGGGCAGGGGCAAATGTTAGGCAAGTGGCCAAGGAAGCACTGCAGGCAGCACACAGTAGGGCAACGATGGGACCTGGGCAGGGCACCTACCCTCAATCTCCTGAGCCCGTACACGGCGGATGGCGGCTCGGATCAGCTTGCGCTCCTCATACTCGCCGGCACTTCGCAGCTGCGGGTGAAAAACAGGCCCCGAGTGTTGTGCTGTAGAGTGCAGGTCTTCTGCCCTGCCCCTGTCCCCTGCCCTGGCCTGGGCCTCACCAGTGTGGTTAGCTCCTCCACATCATTCATAGACTCCAGCTGCCCTGCCAGCCGTGCGAGAGCAGCCCGCTGTTCAGCTTCCCGATGCTGAGAGCTGTGGAAATATCTTGACTGTTACTACCACTACCAGGGCTAGGTTGTGAGCTAAAGGTAGGGGCCAGGGCAGGGTACCCGGAACCTTGACAGAGGAGGGAGTAGCTACCTATGCAGACCCTTGACTGCACACTGATACATGCATGTCCCAGTCATGTTGTCCACACCAGTGGGACCAAGATAACACGATCGGCACATGGCCCATTCCCAAAAACACCCCTGCACAACTCCGAAGTGTGCACGCATTACCCACTGTACACACAGCAGACGTACCTGTGCTCACAGCTGCCTACACACATGAGCTGAGCCCTGGTACACTCGACCCCTCCCACATGCATGTTTGATCCTCGGCCACTCACTGCAGCCAGTTCTCCTTGTTGTCCTGTCGCTCGGCACGGAAGCGCTTCGATGCCAGGGCTTCCTCCTCGCGCTCCAGCTCCTGCCGCTGCAGCTCCCGGATGGCTGAACGGATGCGCCGCCGCTCTGCCAGATCTGCTGTGACCTCTAGCTATAGGGTAGGTGGGGGCGAGGGGCGGGTCATTCTGGCTGTTAGGGGCGGAGGGCTGGTACCAGCTACCCACGGTTTTGCCTGGGGCACAATGAGGAGCCTGTCTCCACTCAGTCTGCCCCAAGCCCTTTACATGCCTGGCCACCCACTGAGGTTGTCAGGGGGAGACCCTACTCAGGGATCAGGGAAGCCTGCTGCACACTGTGGTTCATAGAGCACCTACTGTGAGTAAGCAGCTGGCAGCTGCCCACCTGTGTCAGATGCTAAGCAGTCAGGCACTCCTACCTGCAATTCGACTCCTGCCCCTCAGAGCCCCGCCTCAGACCCCCAAGAGCTACGGAGCCACTGTGAGGAGGTCAACCCTGAGAGTTGGAGAAGAAAGAAGCCCTGGAGAAGAAAGTGTAATTCGGTTAGCTGGAGTACCCCTGAAGCACCCCTGGAGCAAGGAAGACTTCTGTGTTGTAGTCCCAGAACATCACAGCTCTGTGGATGACAGATTGGGAAACTGAGGCAAGGACACTTTCTTAGGCATCTCCTAGCTTCTTGCCTGGCTGTGGAGTATCTGTTCCCCTTACTCCCTGGATTGGCTTTAACCTACCCCTAGCCGCCATCAAAGGAGCCAGGCCCCAGAGTGGGAAGGTCAGTCCCCCAGAGAAATAAGGCAGCTGGCCCTAGGGGATACCCAGATCTCTAGAGAGGGTATACATGGGGGACATGTACTCCTACCAGCTTCTCAGCCCTGCCTGAAATTTGGGGTGGCTAGTTCAGAAAAGGGCACTTTTTCTGGGCTGAGTCAGCCGATCCTGGTTTCCTCTCTGTAGACTGGATCCCACCTCCCAGGGATCCTGTATAGCTCAAGGGAGAGGGCTGGCCCAGGATCTCTCAGGAAGACAGAGGCAGAGATAAGCCTTCAGTGTGTAGTCTGATAGCCAGTTGGGAACAAGTAAAGGCAGGGTGACTTCCTCATCGCCAAGTATCCTCTATCCTCTTCCTTTTTATCCTTCCCCTCCATCATGCCTTCCTGCTTGATAGGGGAGCTGGGGAGCTGGAGTGGGTGGAGAAAGATAGGTTCTAGCAGGGAGTGTGGGCGGGCCCAATTCAGCCAATAGCTAACCTGCCCTAGTCTGAAGAATGGTGAAAGCCTAGAAGGACAGAGCCCTGGAGCTCCACATTCCTGAAGTGCTATGGGAGCATTTCCTAAAACTCAGGCCAGAGCTATGTGTTGGTTCTGTCTGGGTGGTCAGGGACATATTCTTAACCTCTCTGTTTTCTTGCGTCTTTGTTTTTTTGTTTGCCAGATGGGACAAAGGCCCCCACCTCAGGGAAGGGGAGGGGATGGAACAGAGACTTGGGGGTGTAACCATCAGGAGAAAGAGTGAGGCAGTGCAAATGGGGAAGACAGGACATACTAAGAACCTGACTGGATCAGACCTTGTACTAAGCCCCCGCTAGGTCCCCACCTCACAAAAACCCTGGATACAATACTATTCCTGACAGAAGAGGAAACTGAGGCTCAGTGGGAAATGATTTGCTTATGATCAAATGACCTGAGTTAGGATTTGAACCCAGGATTCTGTCTGCAGGGCCTGCCCTAGATTGAAGAAAGCTGTGGTGCTGGGGCCTAACTGCTATGGCAGGGAATCTCAAGGACCTGGAAATGTGTTGGGGGGGGTGTCCCTCTGGCCTGGGATAGAAATGCCAAAGCCCAAGGGGGCCTATTATAGCAGAGGGAGGGAGAATGAGCCTCACTTTCCCAGAACACTTGGAGATTGGGGGCTTTACGGGTCTGCTGGCCCTCCTGTGCAGAGGACAAAGACCAGAAGTGCAATAACTAGCCCTGTTTTCCAGGTCCCCATTCCCAATGCCCTGGGGTCCTGAGATGCAGTCCTTGTCCCTTAAAAAAACCGGATGTGGGGCTGGGGATTTAGCTCAGCGGCACAGCACCTGCCCCGCAAGCTCAAGGTTGCGAGTTCGATCCCCGGTACAGAAAACAAAAACAAAAACAAACAAACAAACAAAAAGCCAGATGTGATAATTTAGCCATTTCTGCAAACCCGGGCGCCTCAGGGGTGTGCACTCCCTAGAGATGAGTGAGGGTGCTCGGGTACCTGGCCTGGCTTTCTCTGTTTGGGAAGCTCTGATTCTGTTACTCCTCAAAGGACTCTGCCTTCTTGAGGGAAAGTTCTATCTGAAAACTGGGAACCTCCCTCTGATCCCTCTGAGTGGGTGGGGCAGGGCCGAGGGATGGATTTCATTCCGATGGGCACCCCTTGGTATGAGCCTCCCCTGTAGGCCTGTAGACAAAGGTCAGCCCACAGTGTCCCTGCTGTGTCCTCTGGTCCCCACCCTCTCAGGCACCACCGCTGTTCGGAGGGAGGGAAGGAAGTACAAAGAGCCATTGTCCACCAGGGGGAAGGGGAAAGGGATGGGGCGGTTTCGGAAACTGCCCAGTGAAATTCTCCCGGGAGGAAAGAGGGTGCTTCCTCCTCCCCGGAGGCTGGGCCTCCAGTTATTTTCTGCTTTCGCTGCTGGGGTGATCTGGCAACCCTCTCGGGTCAGTCTCCCCATCTGCACAGGGTAGGTCAGGTATTCTGACCTTTCTTTGCTTAGACCCCAGGACCCCAGTTACTCCCGGGCGACGAGCCGGCAGTGGAGCGAGGCATCGCTAGGGGGCGCCGAAGACTTGCCGGCTCCCGAACCGCCCGCGCTCGCAGGGTCCGCCCATACCTCTCCCACCCCGCGAAGGGCTAGGCCCCTAAAGCGGAGCTAGACAGGAAGCCCCCTGCCACCGCCTGCTTTAATGTCCCAGTCTACAGAGAGGAAACCGGAGTTCGCAGAACCTAAGCTGCTTCCCAGGTCATCCCGCTAAATTGTTGGAGTCGGAACTCGAACCCAGGACGGGGGCGTAGGGCGTGCCTGCGTGTGGCAGAGGGACGCGCGGCGCGAATGTCCCCAGGTGCCCCCATCCCGCGCAGCCCACTGCCCAGTCCTCAGGAATGTGCGGGAGCAGAGGCCGGAAGCAGCTGCCCGGTCCCCAAGTCTGCTAGGGCGCTGAATAGGCGGAGCGGGCCCAGCTTTGCCTTATAAGGCCCGGCCCCACGGGGAGGGGCCCGGCTCAGGACGCCCCCGTTCCTGCCACGAGGCCGGCAGGGGCCGGGACGGCGCGCGGGGAGCAGCGATGGCGGGTGCGGGGCAGTGGAGGAGCTGATCTGGGGGTGTCGGGGTGGGAAAGCCTTTTGGGTCCAGCGCGGTCGGAATAGCGGGGCGGCTCGTTGGTACTTTCCCAGGGGGTTTGAGACCGGTTGAGCCGACTTCAACCGCTGCTCAAATTCCTTCTCGGAAATCTTTTTCCTTCGCCCAGTAGGGGCTGATCCCTGAACAACGCCCGAGCTTCCTTCAGTGTGGACCTCCAAGAGATGAGGGTGCTCGGGCAGCTGGCCTGACTTTCTGTTTGGGATGCTCTGATTCTGCCACCCCCATCAGGACTCCTGACTTCTTGAGGGGAAGTTGAGCTGACCGGTAGGCGCCTTTGGAAACCCAGCCTCATCCCCTCTAGGTTGCACCCAGTCTGCAGAGGCAGCTGGTGGGGACACACCCAGAGTTTGTCTAAGGCACTGGCCTGAAGACTCACAGGCCAGGTGCTTGCGGAGGACATGGCAGCAGCTGGCACTGCCCCTTGGCTAGACTAGGCTGAGTGGCTCCAGCCTCTGCCTCCTGGGGAGTGATATGGGGGTGGAATAGATCATTTGTCTTCCCCTAGGGAAAGTAAATCTTTAATTTTCTCTCCTGGACAAGGGTCAGGGTCTGGGAGGTGGGGCTCTGATTTCTCTTGCAGATCAGCTGCTGCCTGGTGCTGGTGCTAACATCCTTGTCCTGCTGTGTTGCTCCACAGCCTCTCTGTGCAAAGAGGTAGGAAGGCCCTGGGGGAAGGAGTGGGAGTGGACCCATCCTGTTTCTGTCCTGAGATCTGGGCCCACTCCTCTGTCCCACTGCAACCCCAGAACCTAGACTCTGTATTCACACACACACACACACCACACACGTCTTCCTCTCACTCTACAGGTAAACACACAGACTCAGAATCAAAAATGACAAACTAGAAGACCCAGAACCTACGCAGCCCACAAAGCCTGTCTCTCTCATAGGTTCTCCCAGACTTGACTTTCCCAGCGTCATGGTCCCTTCTGGAACTCAGATCCTGACACAGCTCCTTTGAGCAGGTGATTTCATGTCTATGAGTGGCAGCATCCTGGCTGTCAAAGCTACTGTGAGAAAAGTACATCGAGCTTGCTCCCTGCTATGCGCTAGCATTATTAATCATTGTTGCTATCATTATCACTGGGCCAGCTTTCCAGGGTTGGGCACTGCTAAGGCTGTTACTCAGAAGAGGCAGATCCAGCCTCCCCACACCTGTGGCTGCACATGGGCGAGTCCCTAGCAGTTACTGTTTAAACAGGTGGTGGCAGTACGGGGCTGGGAGGGACCAAGGCTCAGCACCTGGCAGAGACAGCCACATGCCAAAGGGTCCTCTGCACCAGCCACACGGAACCAGCCTGGCCTTGTTCTCTTGACCCCCTCCTCCTGACTCATCCTCCATTACCTCTGCCTCTCAGCTGAAAAGTTGCCTGGATTGGCCCCGGCTCTCTGACCTGGCTTACCCGCTCCATAGTAAAGTCATGGGGCAACTTACCAGTTTCCGGAGGGCTCCCTCATCCAGCCCAGCTAAGGCCTCGTCTGCCATGTTGCTGGCTCCTAGCTCCGTCGTGATCTCCTGGTGATACCCCCAGTGCCTGTGGCACCTGAAACCAGCTCAGGGAATTCTGCATGGGATAGACATGAGTTGTCAGGCCTGCTGGAACTTCTGGAAACCACAGGCACTTGGGCTCTGTGCCTCAGTTTTCCTGTCTAACCCATGAGCATCCACTGCTGTCCTATCCTTGCTTGCTGACCCTGTGATATGGCTCCTGGCTGGGAACTCCCCTTTATCCGAGGTTGGTTTGCTGGAAAACTCACCAAACCAAGAGTAGGTATCCCTGCTCCAGCTGTGGCAGCTGGGCTGCCAGTCTGTTGTGTGGCCTAGGCTGGGCTCTCATCCTGTCTGTGCTCAAACAAGCAGGGCAGGGACCTGGACTGAAAAGCTGGGCTGGGGCTTGGGGAGAAGGGAGGCCTACCCAAGCTGTCCTTACCACCAGGGGGGTTACCCCAGCCTCCACTTTCCTGCCTCACCTGCCCATGCCCAGGGCCTGCCCAGCGCCCAGCCACTCTGCGAGCTCTGCCTCTAGCTGAGCCCATGTCCAAGTCCTTGCTGCCACAGCCACTTACTCCCCCAGGTATGGGAGGTGGACTGTCTTCCATGTCTTGGAGGGAACCCTCTTTGCACAACCTTCTTCATTCTGTCCTCTCCATGATATCATGAAGACAGGTATCCTGGCACCCAGCTCCTCCTGCTAGTTCACACACTATTCATTTCCCAGCTGGAAGCGCCTCCAGAAGCTCAGCTTGGTGGGGTTTGTTATGGGGAATGGGGGAACCCCAAAACTTAAGAGTGCAGGGAGAGATCTAATAGAAATCTTGGTCACTTCTGGCCTCTGAAGGCCCCTTCCAAGCACCCCCAGAAGCCCAGGGCATTCCCTTTTGACTCATCACTGCCCATCAAACAGACCCTTAAATTCCTGGCCCAGACCCCCAGCCCAGCTTCCTCCTGTAGCCCAGATGTCTTTCTGGAATTTGAGAGTCCACGGCCTAACACACCTAGGTGCCCAGGTTACCTCCACCCCCCCACCCCCTCACCCCCGTTGATTCATCTCTTAATCATCCCTCTCTCCAAAACAGTCACTCGGCGAGTCACCTATCTGGTGAATGGGTCTGGGGGAGTCCAAATCATACAGTTGGGGTTTATTAGACCCTGTATGTTCAAGTCACTACTTGCTCCTTCCACCCTGGAAGGCTCAGGTGGGTGTCAATTTCGCAACCCCTTTCTGTCAAGGTCCATGCCCCTTATCTGGCTATTTTGCTTGGGGAATCCCTCCACCACCCCCAAAATGGATCACTCAGACATCTCTAGCCTTAGGTAGTGAGGACATTCTGTGCTCCTCATGTTTTTTCTTCTGAGGGGTGGGGGTCCGAGTACCTAATCTCGGGCTGAAGATACTGTGAGAGGTCTCTCTCTACTCAGATTCCTGTCTACCGCCGTACCACCCTGAACGCGCCCGATCTCATCTACTCAGATTCAGGCTGCCGCCTCCCACGAGTCCCGTGGCTCTCTGTCACACAGATGGGGTCCCTGGTATCGTGAGGGCGCTCGGACATCTGTGGGAACTTCCTCAAGGTATCTGCCCCTATAGGCTGGAGCCCCTGGGGGTCGTCTGGGGGTCGTCGAGCCTCCTGGAGGTCCAAGGGCGTCCTTTCTCCATGGCCTGGGAACCTTAACCTGTGGTTTGGTTCCCCCGTGATTCGGGGAGGCTCCCCAGGTCTGGGAATATCAAAGCCCCTACCCAGATAGATATCCGGGTTCCACTCCTGGGAACCGTCGGCGGTTCTGGCGCCGCCCGGAGATCCGCACACCCACCTCTCAGTCCAGCCCGTCAGTCCGGCGCGGGCTCGGGTTTGCTCACTCGGGATCCGACAGGTCTGGCCGGAGAAGCAGAGACCTGGGGCTCCGAGGCCCGCTCAGCAACCGTCCCCTGGACTCTGCTAGAGCCTCGCGTCCCGCAGCTCCAGCCGCCTCGCTGGCCCCGCCCCACCCCACCGCACTATCCCAATCCTCAGTTGGGTTACGCCCACCCTCGTGCCCCATTGGGTAAATTCAATTTGACGGCCACGCCCCGAAGAAAGACCCTGCCCTTTTCTGGCTGGGGTTGTTGGGTGTTGTAGTCTTGGGGCTGCTGCCGTGCTGTGTTTGGTGGGTCGAGTGGGCTTTGGCACATTGGCAGCAGGCTCTATGCCAAAGCTCGGGAGGGCTTCCGAGCCAGGGTAAGTGGCCTAGGATCCCACGAGTCCAGAGCAGTCAAGACAGCCTCCCCGCCTTCCTCTTTGTTCGTGAGACCACGTTCCTTCCCTCGACTCCACCCACTCGCGTCAGTGCTGAAACTCCGATGCTGCCCCCCAGGCTGTGTTGGGGGCATGCGGTCTGGGCCATCTCAGAGCAGGGACTGAGGGACCAGCAGCACTTTGACCCTACGTTAAACTTCCCGGGACTATCTGAGATGGAGCAGGATGAATCACACAGCCTGTCTTCTTCAGCCATGCACCCTCACCTAGCGTTGTTTTCACTCCAAGCCCTGCAGACTCTGTTGGAGCACTGGAAGCCTACAAGGGAGTATGGACTCCAGACTGTTATTCAACAAATGGGAGAAACTGAGGCCCAGAAACAGCCAAAATTTCTAAACAAGGAGTCAGCCAGGAGACCCACGAGCCCAGACCCACAGGGGAAAAACTACTCCCTCTCGTATGCGGGAAGGCCCTGGAGCTGTTCACAAGTCTCCATGGAAACCGAGAGGGGTGGAATCTGGGAACATGGGGTCCTGAGTCCTGCCTATCAAATAAAAAAACTTTTAAAAATATTTGTTTACTTTGTCCCTGCCATATAACAGGTGTATAAATCCCTATAATAAGGAAATGATTCCAGGATTACTGTCCCATTATACAGATGAGGACAAAAGCCCAAAGGTAGTGGAGCTGTGTTTCATACTTAACCTCTTTTGTAACTAACCACTGTAGTAATATGGAATACTGAGGATACTGAAAAGCCTAGGTTCAGATCCTCTGAGACCCATCCCCTCCACACAGTCATTTAAGGAGAGAGCCAGTATCCACTCTGAGGCTCATTCCCATGTATCTTCTCATTTCAATTCACCATCCCCAGAGGTGGTTCCCATTTTACACATTGGACAACCGAGACACAGGGAAGGAAGTGACCTGTAGGACACATGGGAGGAGAGGGGCACAGAGTCCAGTTTGGAGAATAAAGACAGTTTGAGGTCTTAGGCCATCTCTCCCTGGCCTAGGTGCCACCTAATTCTCCAGAACGAGGGTGAGCACCCTCCGAGCCAACTGTGTCGCACTTGTGCATCCCTTAGACCACCCATGTCAGATTCTCAGGGCCTGCTTGAGTGGCAGCTGTTAGCTCCAACAAATGGGCTGCTGATGGTAGCTCTTAGCCTCTGCTGACTGGGAGGAGACACAGGGGTGAGTGCCTGCGCATCTGGGTGTTATGTCTTGCTCAAGTGTGCATTCACTCCTAGTGGTATGACAGGGGTGTGTAAGTCCTGCCCTGTCTTGTCATCAAGCACTTACGGCCACCCTCCAGCTTACTTGTCTGCCTTTTTCTCTTCCTCCTTTCCAAGGGTGGCAGCAGGGGAGGGGTGTGATTAGTGGTGGTGGTGTGGTGGTGATCTAGATATCAAAGGGCAGTCTCGTTTTGGTACTGGGGAAGTTTACAACTGAAGCCCAGGAAAAAGTAAACATCCCTGGGGAAGGGCCTGCTATTTGCTGAGCACCTGTTGCATATCAGACAACTATTTTAAGTTGACCACTGTGCAAGATAGATATAGCCTCATTCCACACAGGAGGAAACTGAAGCTCACTGAAGTCAAGGCCCTCTAGGCTGGTAGTAGCATGAAAACAGTGGAATTCAGTCTGATGTCAAAGCCCCTTCTCTGAACCTTGAGAGCAATCCTCAGTGTGTGTGTGTGTGTGTGTGTGTGTGTGTGTGTGTGTGTGTGTGAAGGGACTCTCAGAGGAGGTGGTGCGAAAACTGATCCTTGATGAGTGCAAAGAAATTTGCCCTATGGAGAAGAGAGGGAAAGGTATGGAAGGATACTTGTGGCAGAAAAACCATGTGAGCAAGATCTGGGAGGCTTATGAGTAGGAAATGGAGGAGAATGGGCTGTGGGTGGAATAGGAAATGGGGGTCGTTCCCTCTGAACGACAGGTGAGCTGGGTGAAGTGATGCTGAAAGCATTCAGAAGGTCTAGGCCTCCATCTGCTCAGAAGAACGAGTTGGACTGGACCACCTAGGGTCCTCCTAGAGCAATGACATAGAAGAGGAAGGATCCATATTCTTCCAGGTCCAACTCTGGACTGGCAGAGCGGGGAGTGGCTGGAGCAGCTCAGGGGCCAGGGGTGACATTTTGTTTCACAGTCTAAGTCTGTGAATGAATCCCCAAGTCATCCACACTTTTCCTCCTCCCAGTCACGGTCCTACAGAGAAAGCCTAGGCTTGGGGATAGGAGGCAAGAAGGATGATATTCTTAGCTCTGGCTCCGCCCCTTACAAAGCCTTGGTCCTCTAAGATCTTCACTTTCCTTATGTACAAAATGGAGGTACTGTGTGTGCTGTGAGTTTACTAAGCCTATGTCTTTGTTACTTTTTTCATGGCTGAGACAAAATACCTGACACCTAAGGTTAAAGAAGGAAAGGTTTATTTATTGTAGCTCATAGTTTTTAGAGGTTTCAGTTCATAGTTTGCTGGTTCCAAGGCAGGGTGGCATGGCAGAGGGGCATCAGGCAGGAGAAACAGTTCATGGTGGGCAGAAGGCAGGAAGGCAGCAAAGCAGCAAAGTAGCAATCAGCAAGCAGTAAGTGACAAGCAGCAACAGCAGCCCCCTTTCTGTCCCTTGTAGTCTATTCAGGCTACACACCCTTAGAGTGGGTCTCATTCACACCCAGGGTGGGCCTTCCCATTGTCCGTATCCAGAACTGTGCCAAACCCATCGGTGGAGTAATTTAGTAATCACACACCCTTAATCCCAGCATCACACACTCTAGATCCAGCCACCTCTGAAAAGCTTACCTATGACCATATGAGGCTTTGAGGGGACATCTAGATACAAGTCATAACAGCCTATTTTACCCAGACTGGACAATGAAAAATTCCAAGACTGTCTTGGGATGTACCCACAAGTGGCTGTAATGCCAGCTGAGGCTGGGACCTTAGGCCTACGGGGGAAGCCCAGAGGCTGTTGGACGGGGTGGAATTGGGCCTGTGGTTGGAGGTCTCACAGCCTAGTGGAAGTAGAGGGAGAGATGGTAACTGGATTACTCTGAAGTCTAAAAAAACAAGGCCTTTACTTGCTCTAGTACGTGAGAAGATGGAGGAAAATCAAGCAAGAAAAGAGAACAACATGAGCAAAGGCAGAGATGCAGGATCATGCGCACTTGCAAGGGGATTGTCCAGTAATTGAGGCTGGATTACGGGGGACCCCAGAGGAGGACTGCTTCTTCCTGGGGTTGGCTGGATCCAAGGGCCATGAGTTCCCCCTTGCAGGTAGAATTGGAGGCCCCCGAGGTCATAGCTAGCAGCCCTAGAAGTAGGACTAAGGACCTGTTTCACAAACCAGTTTGGCAAGACTATCACCTCTGTGCTATCATCCAGCTTGGGGTTCTTTGAATAACCGTGCCAGACACATTTCCAGCCTTGGAAGAGGAGAAGGGGCCTGAGATGGCCGTTGTACAGCAGTGAATCCCAGAACAGCCTCATCGACAAAGGGAGGGTTCTGAATGGGCCTGCCTGGACCTCTTGGGACTTCTAAGATGTCGCTGGTGCCTTGTTGGCAGGTCTAGGCTCATGGTGAGAGCACTGTGTCATCGTCATCTGGCGGGTTGGACCCTGGCTCTCAATGACCTTGAACAACACACGTGACAGTGTAGTCACTATGACCCTCCTAGGTTGAGTCCTGCGGAGTTTCACTTTATACAGAGGGGGCAGGGTTAGCAAGGCCAAGCCATACTGGAATTTCATACAGTCTGAATTTAGATCCTTGTTCTTAATCACTGCATTCCCACCATTTGCCGTTTGGGAGCTCTGCACATAGGCTTTTCTACTTGTGAATGTAACTGCAGAATCTTGGCCTCACAGAGTACCACCTTATGCCTACCTCATGGTCCAGACAGGCAACCTGTTAGGTCACACAGCTAGTTGAGGACAGAGCCCCTCTGCACTCCAGCTGTGCAGCTTCCCAAACCTCTTATTTCTTCTTTGTGGACTGGTACACCTAAGCATGAAATACCAATAATAACTGGCTCATAGTGAATCCCTACTATGTACCATTCATTCATTTAAGCATCATCACAGCCCTGGGGAGTAGGTGCTGAGATTATGTCCATTTGACAGATAAAGAAGCTGAGATTCAGGTCGAGGTGGTGGCACATGCCTGTAATACCAGCACTTTGGGAGACTGAGGCAGGAAGATTCTAAGTTTGAGCCCAGCCTGGAAAACTTTTAATTTAAAGAGATCTTGTCGCAAAGAAAGAAAGGGAGAGACAGAGAAATGCCAAAAGAAAAAAAGAAAGAAAAAAGAAAGAAAGAAAGAAAGAAAGAAAGAAAGAGAAGAAAAGAAAAAAGAAAGAAAGAAAGAGAGAGAGAGAGAAAGAGAGAGAGAGAAAGAGAAAGTAAGAGGAAGAAAGAGAAAGAGAAAGAAATGAAGGCGGGTCAGTGTGGGAATATAGTTCAGTACAAAGGACCTGCAAAGGGTTCAATCTCTATTACCAAAAACAAAGACCCCAAAACCAAGAAGCTGAGATTCAGAGGGAGAAGTCACTTGTCCAAGTAGCAGCATATTGATGGTGGGGCTGGGATTCGAATCGGGTGTGTGGGCCTTTCCCCCGTAGCAGATCCGGCAAGCCTCAGTGGAGGCAGGAAGACCTGTAGACAGGAGGGTGGATGGCCGATTTGCAGGCTCCAGATGCAAGCAGTGTCTGATGCAGAACTTCCACAAATGCCTGGTCTCTCTAGGGCAGGCAGAAAAGTGCTGCAACTGCAGAAGGTCTCTGAACCTTCCCAGAGGAGGCGGCCACGGTGGGAGGG